AACAGTTAGACTGGTGGCTGATTCTATTGTACATTAAATTCATTCCTAGCAACGGTTGGGACAATAACTCATTTTAATACAGGCGACCACAACAATTCTTTTCAAATACGTGTCACATGTAGAACCGCCTTGTTCGCCGAGTCAATACGCCACGACTCAATCGTTAAGTCATTGGAGTTCCGAAGGTGATTGCTTGTAGTATTTTATAGAACGTGAAAGTTATTGTTATAAGAAAAAAAAAATGATAGTCATAGTATCTCGCACTGAGATTAATTACAATATGTCGCGTCCTCGCGACGAAGAGTTGTGATGTGAGTAGGTTAAAAACAGCTCATTCAGATCGGTTGTATTGTTTTGATGTATGGTCCAGAGGATATTAAATAAAGTAATTTTTTACCGAATTTCTTTATTTTAAGATTCTATATATGTAATCTTTCTTGTTGAGAATTGTTGTCATCAAATATAGTACTATGTAGCAATGAAAGCTAAACAGATAAATGTGCGCATTTAAACAACTGCTTATTGTTGCCGTGCTAAAATAAGAAACCGCGGACATTGTTGTCTGCAACACAGTAGCAAGCGTAAGGACAACTTTTCTCGGAAACGAGATGCACTCACTTTTGATGGTAATTTGTATGAATAGCTAAATAACAAATTGAATACACCAGTACGACTTGTCGATGCTGCTATTATACAGAAAATGTGCCCCTAGCAACGACGTTCCATTGTTACACTTACAACCGAACACAATAATAGGTCTTACATGGTGTGCACTCGTAATGTTGATTCACACAGTATAGAAGCACATTGTCCTTTTTTACTGTCAGCTCTGGAATGTCACATACTAGACGGGAAAGCCAATCCACTGGTCGAGCTTATCGGTAGTTGGAAACCATTATAAACATGCTCATCTTAGACTCCCTCGCAAAATCCACATAGTCCCAGACTATGGTTACTTGGCGAAATGTCAGCGCCCGCATTTACGACATTCAATGTCCAACACTGTCGCACGGCATACATTTGTATAGATATCAAACAATATTAAATGTATCTGTATTGATAATTGGATACCATTAAACCAGGTCATCTTTGACTTTTTCAAAAAACAAACAATAAAAACAGGTAGCCGATCTATATTTCGCAAACAAAAAATCCACGGAAATGACGATTACTAGCGATTAGAATAATTAATGTTCAACGTTCTGATAAGTTTTAGTTGATAAAGTCCAAAAATTGTTTAGACATTTCTGATTATTCTTTCACTGAGAAAAAAAAACAGTTGATGTTTTAATTATAAATATAAAATTTGATAAATAGGTCGCTTCTAGAGAATGACGCGGATGATTTTAAATTTATCTGGAATTGTCATCCAGGAACATTTCCTTAAAGGTGATATCTTAAGAACGCATCCTATTTTTAACGAAAAATGGTGTGACATTCAGTTTACAACATAATGCGAGAAAGTGAAAATTACCCGAGTAACCCTCGGGGCACAACAATAAATCTCTAACGCAGTTTTCGAACACGATTTGTTTAGATGAAAATATCATAACAATCGAGCGCATGGTTTGTTTCGAAGACACACACTAATACTTACCTTCGCAGTTAGACCCAGTAAACAGTAACATTATTGTTAGCAGGTTAAAAACGAAACTCAAAACTCGAGACATTATGCTCACATATAGACGAGAGGACAACTTTTCGTGGAAAAGGAGACATGCGCATTTGGACTCGGATGCGTTCAGTATTTGAGTACAGTCGTAGGATTGGTGGTTATTTTCATTCGGATGGGTGGCATTGTTTTGATCTATGGTTTGTCAGTAAAATAACGTGTTTACATATTTTTTTATTTTTCCATTTTCTTTATGTGACAAATGATGGCATTGCTTACGCCCAATCACGGTTCAATTACGTAGTCCAATTACGTCATTTTGAAGTCACAAAGCTCTTCATCACTAGAGGGCGCCGCTCATACGAAAATATGCACAAATAGGTGCAGTCCTAAGGAATATTCTCATCCCGGAATTCTCATACAAGTCATGTTTGTCTACAAAAAATAGCCATATAAGGAAATGTTCATTACCATACAGATAAGTTTCCTCTGACAAGGATAGCCATATAAGAAAACACATGTAAGGGAATGGATGACTATTGTTCCCCACAGATAACCATATACTGTAAAGAGAATGCTCATTACGTTATCGTCGACTTCCGGGAAAGTGGACTATAATGCGGAAGAGATGTGGTAATTTCCCGCGGTATTTTCTTTTTGTGTTTTTAGAATCTCGGGTAAATAACTTAAAGAGACAAACTAATATGTAGATCTAAAGAATGCAACGAGAGCATGCAGTACTGCTTGCCAATCGTATTGTGATGTTTTGAGGCTACATTGCGGCTCAGACCACTAGATTGCGGATTTCGGTGAGCGTATTTT